GTTCCCATAGGTGGCCAATAATGCAAGCAATCCATTCAGTTAATGATGATCATTAGGCGGATTCACTAACAATTCTAGCCTTTAATGGGAATTGGCCAGTAGATCAAGCGAGTAGCGATGTCAAGGTAGGGGAACACCCCCCCTGGGATCAATGTAACAAGCAGAAACGACATTTTTGCGATTCATGACGCCATTTGACACCAGTTGATGCCCCCACAGCCCTTTTCCTGCCAGCGCAGTCACTGTGATGGCGCCACTGAGCGTCAATTTGGCATCGCATGATAAGGTGCTTTCTGCTAGTGTATGGCGTCACCCTGATCCACACTTGCAATGTCAACGGGAAATTGCGGCAACGAGGGTCTCAACCCCGTGGCGAATCTACCGACAGAGTGCACCAGTTTCAACCGACACCACACGGCCATCATCGGCAACCGAGCCTCTCGGGGCTGCCGAGTTCCGGGTCGTCACAAAGCGCGCCAAAATCGACACAACCGCCGCTCGGTACGCCGAATCCCACGACCGCCACTACAAAATTGACATCGCCTCACCGTTCACGCAACGGTCGACCATCGATTCTGGCCCACCACACAGTGTGTACCAGCATCGTACCCCTCCCGCGATTTTCCCCAGACCCCTCTCATCATGTGGCGATAAAGCCTCGTTGCTCCTAAGTCTGAGTGTACTTCTGAATGTACCTATTATCCGAATGTAGGAATGTACTTTGTGCGAGGGCCGTAACATCTCGACGTCTCATCATGTCGCATCACGCGTCATGAATTCACCGATGATGTAAGCCCCGCCCCTCCCCCCTCCCTCTCCAGTAGTTAAGCCCTCTCCGCCCTCTCCTCCCCGCCACCAAGGTCGCGGCCAACTCCCAAACAGCGTCCCCCTCCCCCTTCACCTTTCAGAGCCCGCCCGGCCGGGTGGCCAGCCCACCAAACCGCTTGGCCCCCAGCCTGTGGGCGCCCCGCGCCTGCTAGTCTCGAATCTCATCAACCCGGCCGGCCTGGCGCGAGGATCAAGCCCCTTGAGCGGGCCGCACGCTTCAATCCGACGTAAGAGCTTGGAACAGGCGTCGCAGACCTTTCGTTGGCCGCCCCTTGGGATCACACTTTACGCCACCATCCTCTCGGCGGCCCAAGTCCGCGAATCTCGACTGTGCCCGGCCGGCGCGGCCTGGCGCGAGCATCGAGCGGGCGCAGGCGTCGCGCGCTTCAATCCGACGTGAGAATTTGGAATCGACGTCGCAGACTTTTGCCGGCGCCCCTTTGGGATCATGCTTGGCACCGCCGTCCCTTTCGGCGCCGCGCATCCGTGCCGTGCCCTTTGTCTCGCGCTCTTTTGTTTCCATTGGCTTTCGGCGCCGCGGCGCACGGCGCTCACCTCCATCCAACGTAAGAGTTGAGAATCCGCCTAAGCAATTCTTTTTCCGGCCACTCTTCGGAGTCACGCTTGGCACCGCCATGCCTCTTTGCGCCCCAGGCCTGCGTGTCTCATATTTCGGCAGCCGGCGCGGTCTGACGCGAGGATCAACCTCCTCAGCAGGGACACGCCTCCATGCTACGTAAGAGTTTGGAATCTTTGGCGCAGATTTCAGGCCACCCTTTCAAGCCACGCGCCCCGGCCTCGCGCGAACCTCCTCGCCGCCAAGCCCCACACTCTCGCACATTTTTTGCCTTCCCATCGGCTGTCGACGCCCTCGCGAAGCGGCATACTTCAATCCAACGTGGGAGTTTGAAATCGGCGTCGTAGGCTTTTGTCCGGCCTCCCTTTAGAGTCATGCTCGCCCGCCCTTGTTCAAATTTCTCCACCCTCCCGCCCTTGTCCATCGGCTCTCGGCATCCCTTCTGGCTCAAAGATCTCTCGCAAATTATCCGCGGTCACTCTAATCCAACGCGGGGGCTTTCGAATCAGTACTTGTTTTGCCGATCGCCTCCTCGTGGCCCCTCGCGATCGCTGGCGCCCTTCAGCGCGCCTCACGAGGGGCCATGCCTCGACCGCTGGGCAGAGAGGCTTTGTTTTCAGAGCGGGGTGAACTGGGCGGGTCGCCATTCATGGTGGTGCCGCGAGGGAAGTGATCGAACGGGTGTCCCAGCGATTGGACTCTGTTTTGGGGGGAGGTGGAGGCAGGCTAGCCTGGGGCAGATCAGGGGCGCCGACATTTGTTTTGGGCGGGGTGAACGGGGCATCGCCCTTCTCGGTGGCGGCCCATTGGAGTCGATCGGACAGGTGACCAGGCGATTAGCTCCCTCTTTTGGTGGAGGTGTAGGCTGGCTGCCCCATGGACATGGGCGCGGTCGCCCTTGAAGGGCCTTGCCCTGACAGTTGGCGGCCTGGAAGGCTGGTTGCAGCGCTGGCACGGTTTCGCTCCTAGGGTCATACCTCTCCACAGGTCGCGCTCTTCCTCTTGAAGGCGGGAGGCTTGCCACCAAGCCTGCTTGGTGTTTTAAACTGCAAGCCTCTGCACCGATCTGACTTTGTCCTTCAAGGTTCAAGCTGGCTCTCAACCGAATGCGCATTTTGTTTCAAGCACTCAAGGCACTCATTCGGTTGCATTGCATTACAAAGCTACGGGGTGCTTTCTGTAAGTGCCTCAGATCTCTCCTCTTGTCTCTAGGATCCCTGCCTGCAGGCCCTTTGCAGCAGAAAGCTCCCCAACTCTTGCAGCTCAGTCGTAATCCCATGTGCACAACTGGGGTCGCTCTGTGCCATTGTGATGCACACTCCAAGGCTCCCGGTGTCTCCCTGATGGAAACAGCAAATGCCATCCAGCTGAATGCATTCTGGACACGTCATTGGCATCTCACCTCCAGTTTCGAATTTGTATCATCTGTCTCTGTTGGGTGTCCCCCCCACCCCACCCACCCCACACACAGAGAGTACCCATCCATACCTTCTCCTTGGATGTGCAACAACTCCAATCACACTGATTGTGCCACCACTCCAGGCTGTCTTCTAGTTTTGAATTCCTGTGCCTCCCACAGGCCCCCTCCCGCTGGGAGATGACGTCCCCTCTTGCGAGCTACACGATCGCCCCCTCTCAATCAACGCTGTGCTCAGCAACACTGCTCTGGACCAAGTGTACTCATCGCCATCATTCCACACTGCCTGATAACCACCACCTTGCCAAGCAGTTTCACCCGGCCCAGCTCCCCGAGCTGCCCGGCCTGCCCAGCAGTAGCAGCTCCTGAGTGGCACAAAAGGGAGCTGTGCTGGTGAGCCATGGGTCTATTGGACAGCCAGAGGACAGCCAATGGGCCAAAGACAGGGGCTGCTTCCATGCGTGCCAGCAGCAGGAAATGGGTGATGGGCACTGTGCACGGCGTCTTTGAGCAGGTGAGGTGGAAAATATTGCAGTAAAGACTGGGCCAGTCAATGGGTGACCACTTTTCTGCTCCACAGGATTGTTTCCTTGCTGCGTTGTGTGCTGTGCCACACCTTATGAGAACACGTTTTGTCAGAGGGCAAAGAAGCCAGGCCATGCGCTGGGCACGCCCATGTCTGCATTGTGGTCATATTTTCTTTTCACTGCTTTTGTTCACTGTGGTGCACTTTGCCTACAGCATGGGGACACTTAATCTTCACAGTGTGATAAAGGAAGTGGTTCCAAGGAAGTGGCAAAAAGTTGGCCTGTAAGTTTTCAGGCTTGCTGGAGGGGGGACTTGTTGCTTTCAGTAGTTTCTTATGCTGTTGCAATGCTCTGGATCCCGGTCCCAGGAACACAATGTCCTGTGGCAGTGTTTGTCATGGTTTCTGTGATCTGGAGAAATTGTCAAAATATGAAACGTCGGACAATTCACTTGAACAATGCAAATTGGGTATCTTTTGATGTGGTTGAAGTTGCAGTCAATTGCTTTTCAAGCTTTAATGCAGTCTGAAGGCGATGGCAAGCACTTTTGCATCAACTTTGTTGTCTATTCCAAAATCGAAACAGAATTAAAGAATACTCTTCCTTCCCAGAACGCAGCTGACTTGCTGGCACGACCTTTCCATCCCAAACAGTCTTTGCTGGCTTTAGCAAAATCGCCCACCACCCCCTACGCATCAGTAGGGCAATTGCGCAAGAGCTGGCGGATGGCATTCCACAGCACAAGTATCACTATGCACACAAGTACTGCAGTGCTTGCGACAGTTGTGTGCCCATATTGCATGCACAATGCAGGAAACAAGAACTGAAATGCTTGCTGTAGCGCTGAGGTGAAGCATAGCACATAACTACCATGATACCTGCAGGTATGGCGCACCATGTTCCATGAGGACCTGCACCCCAAACAGCTGGACATCTGCCACGATGGCCAGGTGTTGTCGTTCTCGACGTACGCTGCCTGCAGGCTGCTGGATGTGGATCCTGGTGCGCCGGTGAGTGGACCTTTGGAACCACACAAAAGCACTGTTAAGTACTGAGGCAAGGGTGCAAAAAGCTGCGAATTGAAGTGCACATATAAGGCACTGGTGCAAAGGAGAGAAAGTTTGGGTGAAGTGAAGTACTTGAGCAGATACATGCACCCTTGGGGCAGAAACAAAAACTGGTCAGGCACATAGCAACAATGCCCTGGGCTTGCAGAATTCACTGAATAGAAACGTGCGCAGGTGAAGAATGCCCATTGTTGGAGATGCAGGCGCACTCCTTACCACCAGATGATATTGCCCTAAAGGTCTCTAGATTAGGACGTCCACATTTCCCTGTTCTGCTTCGCTTTTCATTGCTATGCCCAACAGATACCCTCTCATGTGATAACACTGCCGTGAGCTGCACTTAGCACATCAGCACTGCCACAGATTCCTGGGTGCATCGCCCCACATGTACTGCAAAACTGCCCACATTTGTGTGCTGCTGTCATTTCCAGGGTTTGTCTTTTAATTTGCTTTCTGTTGATTCGAACACTTCCAGGGTCAGTTTTCCTTCCGGGAATCGTCATTTTTAAATGAGCGCCAGAATTTGATGCTCGTTGAAAGCGAGGCTTTCCCGCGTCTCAGGGCGTGTCTGAGTCTGACGCCGGATGGTGACGCAGAGAAGCCGCACCTTCGAATCCATACGCACCATCGCGGCCCTGTACCTGCGGGCGGACGTGGCTGCCATGTCGGACAGCATTGCGACGTTTGGGCTGGACACGCTGCTGTGCTCAAAGGTGAGCACCTATCATTTGTGTTGGCGTGAGACTTTGGATTGGGAGGAAAACGCAACGTGAGCTTCTCTCTCTTGTGCAGTGTTTTAAATGAGAAGTGAGCACACCTGCCTGTTGTTAGATGTAACATACTGGTATCAGAAGAAGCGAGCTCACTTTCTGGAATGTGAACGCTTTTGAGAGTGAAACGCTCCCCGCACCGAGCTTATCATCAGACCGCCACTGTGATGCCAAATGAAACACCGGCATCGCAAGGCAAGGAAGCAGGCCCCGCCAGTGCTTGGCACTGTGTCCATCGAATGGGAAGGTTGTAACATTTTCAACGTAACGGTGCTGGTGACATAGTAGTGTGCATCGTGCATGAGCTCATTGGTGCCTCATTCACGGAGGTGTGCTGGCGGTCCGATGGTTTAGCAGTACAGTCAGCTGTACATGCCAGTACTCGTCCTTGTACTTTGTTTACTTTTTGTGCCCCTGATAAACATGACACTCTCGTGGAACTGAGTCAAGATTGGTGGATTTCATCTGTCCAAGCACGGTTGCCACTGCTAACACACTACCATATGTAATTTGGATATTTGGTTTCATCTGTTGGGTTCATAAATGCTCCTTATTTCTCGAATTTTCAAGACACTGCTCGAGCAAATCCGAAGTCGATTTCCTGCGTTCAGTTGCCCCACCTACACTTCTCGATGCATGCCTGGCCCACACATAACGCGGATTCTAGCAGAATTTACTCCGGCAAGTGCAGTGCTAAATATCACAACTTACGCAACGTAGACATTGAAATGCTGAGCAAATTGTCCGCCTTTTCAATTGGAACGATGTCTCGCGCCCTAGGTGCCCGCCTACACGCTGCTGGCCAAGGAGGGCTGCGCCTACCAGTGCCGGTCGCTGGCCTCCCAGGCCATGGTGCGCGACCTCATGGCGCTCTTCGAGGGCCTGCTGAGCGAGTACTTTAGCGACGCCTGGCACGACGTGGAGCGGACCCTTGAGGCCAACGAGGCGGACCTGCAGATGAGCGGCATGGTGTGCGTGTGGGAGCCGGGCAGGCCGAGGGGCTCCCCCGAGAGGGGCCGGAAGAAAAAGGCACCGGAGGGGCCGGGGTGGGTAGACGAAAGTGGGGTTGGTGGGAAGAGTGGTGGAGGGTACAGAGGCTGGAAGGGAGGCGGAGCCGCTTTGGTGTGAACATGTGGCTGCTTGTGTTTATCGTTGCGTGCTTTGCCACTATAAATAGACCAAAATAGACAAACACAAATTACACAACTAAGTAAGTAAATAAATAAGTAAATAAATAAATAAATAACGAACAAATAAATACAAGTAGGAATGACGAAAGTACAAATAACTAAATGAATACGTAATTAGGTGAATGAGTAGCTCAGTTGGTCCGTAAATGTATGCATGCTCGGCCCAAGGCTGATTTTGTCCCTGGCACGGTTAGATCCGAAAATCTGTCAAAGTGATCAATAGCCTCACTGCGTGGCACGATGGCGCTGGCAGGAATGACAAGGGCGGCAGGCGGAACAGCGGCCTGGCGGCTGTGGCCTCCGCGAGGAGCAGGGCGACCGCCAACTGGAGGCGAGCGTACAAAGTCGCACTGAAGCAGGTAAACTGGCTTCTAACATCGGCGGCGCACGTCTGGCCCCAATCTTGTGCCCTTGATAGGTCAGGCGCAACTGGCATGTCCCAGGTCAGCCATCTGATGTTCCTGGATTCTGTATTTGTGCTGTTTTTCTGAGTGCCTGCAATGCCTTTGTCGGTTGCCCTGTTTGCCGCGGTTTGGTGGACTGCAGGTGATGTTGAACACAAGGACGAAGGGGCAGGTCCTGACCATCTATTAGAATGTTCTGGAATAGGCTATGGCGCGTTTTGGTTAATGCCTGTAATTGCTTTATACCAATTTTCCGTGTGTTTCCTTGGACTGCAGGTGACGCTAAACACGTTGGGCGTGAAGAGGAGGTTCCTGACCATCCATCAGATGTTTCAGCAGCTGCACGCCAGCAAAGGAGACGCAGAAACAGGGTCAGTAGTTAGCAAATACTTACCTACGTAAACAGATATTTTGTTGATTGAACCGACGATCGGACAATAGATACTTGAAACTCCTCGTTACAAAAACTTTGAAAATGGTGCTTCTCGTGCTGTGTTGCTGAGCTCCGTCTCCTTTGAATAATGAACTAACATGGATAATGATTATGTACTTAAATTGAATATCTGGATAGTATAAGACAGCTGGAATAGGTAACGAATTAAATAAATGTTGGCAATCGTTAGTTGAGTAGTTGAATCGAAATTCGGTGAATTGCTCAATCCAACGACGATATTCAGTTGCCGATGTATTGGCCGCTTCCGTTGGCGCAGGGAAAGGCGGCGGCAGCCCACGCTGCTGCTGCTGGGTGGCGGGATGGCGGCGGGTAAGAGCACTGTGCGGGAGATCATCGGCCACGACGACTTCTGGAGCAAGGTGAAGAGGCTCTCTGCTGTCCTGATTCCTGACGTTTAAAAACAAATATAAGTACATGTCAATTCCAAAATGACTATAAATGAATAATCAATAGGCAGAGCTCCAGCTCGGCGTGCGCAAACGCAAACCCAAGAAAGAGAGCAAGCGTGAAGGGAGCACGAAAACTTGATAGGAATGGAAGAAAACTCTCTTTTCCGTGACGAGATCGGGCTAACTTTTATTAAGGCTTAAATCCTTAAGATCGCATCAACTGCGGTACAGTAACTGTACTGTCGCCTTTCTGGACACGCACACCCCTTGAACGTTCTTGTATCTTCAGCTTATCCCCGGCGTTGCGATGGTTGTCCGCGATACCACATACAATCACGTCATGTTCCGCCCCGCGAGAGACACCATTTCTGTACCGTTCTTGAATTGCTTCGTCGACCTTAAGCCTTTCTTTCCAGCGCGACCCTGTCAGTTCCTATACTCCCAGGTTGGTCCCATTTTGAAACCGACGGTAACGTAGCCTCTCTCCAGCCGTTCTTTGGACCCTTTGAACTGTTTCCCAAAAGCCAAATCTTTGATTTTTGTATACCTGTTTATTGAACAAGACTCTTATACTGGAGTTGTTTATACTCACAGGTTGGCCCCAGCGCCGTGGTGGTTGAGGCCGACGCCATCAAGAACCAGGACGTCGTGTTCCAGGCGCTGTCGGACCGTCTGGGCGGCGATCCGGCAGTCAGCCAGCTTGTGCACGAGTACTCCACCAGCAACGCCGAAGGTGCGTGTGAGCGACGCGCAAGGGACGCAGTACATTGCAGTACATCACAAACTAAGATTCTCATCATTTTTTGTCGCAATCAGCACAATGGGGTGCCGTGAATATCGCCAAAGTTGATAATGGATTGTAGTGAGTTGCAGTCACTGTAGTCACGATATGTCACGATGTGTGGTAGTGCATTACGACGCATTGTAGCATATGGCGGTAAGGTACAGTTTGATGCTGCGCAAGACATATGTACAGCATGTGAATGCTCCACAACGCGGTGAATCAGTGGGAATCGCAGTGCAGTGCAGCAGGTGTGGTTACATACGGCACAGTAGACCACAATACGATGCCTTGCAGTAGAGTAGACACCAAAAATAAATGCGATAAATACTATGCAGTGTTGATTCCTAATGTATGGTGTGTGGCGTGCGATGCTTGCTGTGTAGTTGAGCGTGTGCGAATCCCGATGCCTGGTTTATTTTTGTACAGCAAAGTGTTCTTCATGCATTGCAGTACATTTGAATAGTACATGCAGTGTGATGTGGTATTAATGAATGCGATTTAATTACGTTTCGAAGATTGCAACTGTGATGAGGGGATAGAAAATGTGCGAAAAAATCGCAGCATCGGATAACAATGCTGAAGTCGGGAGGGCTAGATGGGTTGTTCCTGCAACCTATGCAATGGTGCATTGCGTCACCAATCACACATTTAGTTGCGAATTTGTAATGCATTACATGTTAAATTGCATTCAATTGTGCATTCATTTCTAGTTGTGTATTTTCCTATTTTTTGGATATTTTCAATGGCCGTGTGAGTTGCAATATTGGAAATATGAGATAATAACGTCCAAGGTATGCCAGAATCGCCTCTGGCTCGCAAAGTCCGATGTCTTGTCACGTGCTCTATGGCTGATGCCGCATTGCTAAATTAGCAAATTAGAGTTGCTAAATTACCGAACTAAATTCGCTAGGGATGCTCGTGGCGGCGATCAACAGTCAACGCGACGTGGTCTTCGACGGCACCATGACGTGGCTGCCATTCGTGGAGCAGACCATCGCAATGGTCAGGGACCACAAGCACAAGTACACGAGGTGCAGTGCATTGTGCAGTACTTTGTTGCATGCATTTACTCTTGCGGTGTGCAGGGCATTGGTGCAGAACATTGATCGCGTACTTTACTGCAGTCCGGCTGTACATCGCGTTGCGGTTTTGGTCCCTGTGGAGTGTCGCGCGTTTCACCGGTCATGTCGGTGTGCATTGCGCTGTACTGTTGCTTGTGTTTGCTCTTATTTGCGCTATTGGGGATGTGGTACAGTACGCTGTGCTGCATCTTATCCTTTCTGATATCCTTATGTTTCTATACTGTTATATTGTTATGTTTTGCTCTTCACCAAACCGTGGGGTTGTGTCGCAGGGGTGTCGGTTGGACCCAGGACGCTGATGGGAACCTGCGCGAGGAGTACTGGAAGGTGTGCGAAGGTCCGGGCGCGGAGGCGCAGGACAGTCTGCCGTACCGGATCGAACTCGTGGGAGTCACTTGCGATCCGGGTGAGTGTAACCGGCGCCCTTTTTCGCCAATCCGTTTCGAATAGAAACGCATTGCAAGCGTCAACTGCGACCGGTGCGAGGTCTTGGGACGCGTTTCGTTGGCAAGGACAGGAGCTCGCGCTTGCAGAGTAATGCCAGCTTCACCCAGCTCACAGCCGCGCTTGAATTGTGTAGACTATTGCCTAGCGACAAATATTTCAATGGAAATGGCGGTCTTAATGTTTGGACGTGCAATAAAGCTAACGTTCTTTTTACGTGGCGTTTGTTGTATTGTGTTGGCGATACGTCGTGCATGGATAGCTTGTGATGTTTGGAAACTGGGCCATATATAAACAACGTAACGACGTCAGTTCTCGCCAGCGAAACATAGTGCCGGCGTCTTGCCAATTTCAACCAATGACTATGCTATTGGATGCTGTTGCTAATCCTTGGAGCAATGTTCCGCTACTTCGCCAACGCAGGCTGTTGCTTGCGGCTGGCCTGGCCAGAACTGGTGCACGTTGTATTTAGACGTGGGGCAGTACTTGTAACTTTTTGTTGTTTCTTGTTGGTGGCAGCGCTGGCGGTTGGGCGGGGCATCTGGAGGAAACTGCGCACTGGGCGAGGAGTGCCCGTGAGCAGCCAATTGCGTTCCCACAGGTTTGGCTTTTGTTGTGTTGCTTCATTGATCATTTTTTTAAAATTATGTACAAATGTATCGACAAAGTATGTCGATTACTCATTGTAGACGGTGCTGTTCTGTGCGTGAACTCATAGCACCGTTGGGTTTCAATGCAGGCTGTTTGCCGACAATTTCGAAAGAATGGCGGGCCTGGTTGACACTGCGACGCTGTACCACACTGGAAACAAGCTCACTACCTTCGCGGGGGGCCGGGTGGAGCCAAAGGTGGGATCCGATGCTTTTTGTGTGGCTGTCTTTCGTTTTCGCGACACTCTTGGTCACTGTGTTTTCGCCTTGTGCTTCTTGCGCGCTTTTGTTTGACAACGGCGCTCTTTCTCTCTCAGCTAGCTGACATGTCTTCAAGGAGAAGTCGTACAAGCAAGTTGTGCAAGTAGCGAGTATTACATTTGTTCTTGGTACAAACACATGGCTAGTATTTGGTATTGCCAAATGAAAGTCTATCAGCAGGCTGAATCAGCATGACCAGCATTTCTGTTACTGTTATTTAGAATGCTGTTCATGTTCATTTTGTTCACTGTTTCTGTGGCTTCTCTGTGCTTTTCTGTACTAAAACTACTGAACTGCTACACTATTGCACTGGTGAATTGCTGAACCACTACACTGCTGAGGTACAGAACAAAAGTACTGCCGATCTATTGAACTGTGGAAGGAAAGCACCGCGCACCTGAACAGAAGCAATGCATTCCTGAACCACGGAAGCAAAGTGCTGCACTGCTGAACTACTCAACTAGTTGCAGCGTGCGCATAACTTTTTTGTTTGGCGCAAAGGTAATCGCCCACAAGAGCAGTGCGACGCGCGGTGAGATGTTAGTAAACCCCGCTGCCTGGGAGCAATTCATCAGTCTCAAGAACATCAACGACGACGCCAAATCCGTAACGGACCTCATCAGGGCACCCAGCGCCTTCAACGGCTGGGTGCCGCCGACTCACAGGTAACGGTGCAGTACTTTACGCAATATTAGGATGGCGTACTTTGGTACTACATTGGTTTTGAGGGAGGGGAAGGATGCAGGTATTCTGTGAATGCTACACTGGGATGGTCTACTGTGGTTGAGTACTGTGACAAATGAATATGGATGTTTGATGGATGTAGCAGGCTTGTTATTCACTGCGCAAACAATTTCTATGTACGGCTATTTATGAGTAAAATGGTCTTTACGTTTGCACGCATATATGGTCATACAAATGGGTAGAAAATAAGCATTGTGTACGTAAAGACGGTACGTACAGACTCGGTGAGTCCAAGGAGTGGCATCCAGACGCGTTGGAGTGGGCAGAAAACGGCCTTTTGTTTGACGGCGACGGTAACAAGGTGGGCGCTTTGCTGCGGGTGCTCGAAAGGCTGAGTACTAACCATTGCGTGGGACATAATCATTCAATCTGTGTGTGTCGATGAGCCGTAAAAATGCGTAAATATGACCATAAAAATGGCCATTTCTCTAATTACCATTTCTTTATTTACGCCTTTTTACGCGCAAAAGCGTAAACGTAGAAATGGTGCCGTAAACGTAAATAACAAGCCTAGAATGTAGTACTGGGGCGACGCACTGCGGTGAAGTACTGTGGCAAGGGAGTGTGCAGATCCGGCGCGATGCTGCAGCAATGCGCCGCAATTGTAACACGCGAATCTTGCGCCGCCTGTCTTGGCAAAGTGGCGTGGCAAATTGCTGCAGCGGTGCGGTGATTTTTGTGGCCAGTGTACGCAATGCTGGGGCCAATAGCGGTCATGCCCAGAATTGCTTGCGTGTCGCATGTCGCAACGGCTAACCGGATTGGTTGGGTGTTTGCCGGGCTTTTCTGCCTGGCTGCCTCGCGTGGTGCAGCGGAGCGAGGGGCTTCTTAGCCGACTCTACATGGGTGTTCCGCTGCTTTTATCCCTGAGAGCTACAAGGGGTGCGCCTGCCGCGATTGCTGGACAGCTGCGGTCCAAGGAATTGACTGCAAGCAATTGGCGCATGAATAAACACATAAACAGTCGAATTCTCCAACAAATGAAGAAGTGTGAGAACCCCCACTGTTGGCTTTGTAGATGAGGCGAAGTGGGAGAGCTGTTGGAGTATTTGCGTCAGTGTTGACCATGCGTTCGCTGTGCCTTGACCTTGCGATGAACAGGCATTGCGTTTTTGTATCTTTTGTGTTTAAGGAATCACGTGGGCCGCACATTCACCCGCCACGCCCTCGTGCACTGCGAGTCTGGCAAGGACGTCCGGATGGCGCTCCAGGCGGCCTCCAGGTCGGAGTCGGAGGACAACCTGCTGGACAGCTGGGACGTCGACGGGTGATGTACATTATCGCTGTTGGGTGGCATGACGTCCCTGCCCGTGACAAGTTGCATTCGAATGACGCAATTTGTTGCAGGCCTGGTGGGCCCTTTCCCGCTTGGACCGCTTTTTGAGTGGCCCAATGTCAAATTGACATTTTGAAGGGGATGGCGGTAACGGCATATTCATGGCGAGGTAACGTGTTGGCGGTATTACGTGATTGCTGGACGGGCGCCACCACCGAAGTTTGCTTGCGGAATGGCGCCATCTTGTGACGGCATTGCGCAGCGGCACAAGGCCTCCGCCCAGGTCCACACGCTCTCGTGGCCAAGCCGAGGGTACAAATTGGAAACAACATGAAGACTTCAGTGTGAGCGATTTGGGAGGGACAGAAAGGGATGTTTCATTTGGGTTTCGAATTTCGCTGTCGAATCAGTTCGAATTTCAATTCAAGCCCGCATTTCAAGTGTAAATTCTGGAATATGGATTTTCAAATAGTCAAATTTTGCTCGCTACTCCACCGTGAGTTTTTTGACTGCCCGAGTTGCGTCTGATGCCCGAAATCCTAAGCCTAAGCCCTGAAAAGATATAAAACTCCTAAACCAGCCCTAAGACCTAAACCAAAACTATACCAACCAACGCTAACCCCAAAAACGCTAAAAAGCGAAGCGAGCAAACGCCCCAGGGCTGTAGCTGGACCGTCATGACGAATCTTTCAAGGGTCTTGTCGCACCATCCTTGAAAATGGGGATACAGACGAGAATGGTGTTCAAAGATTAACACAGAGGGAAGACGTTCAGATGGGCACTGTCACACCAGCAACAGATGACGATCTTTTAATGCATTTGAGCAGTAGTAATCCGTGCGCTCGAACACAGAACTAGCGTAGGCGGGTTCCCAGTACTCCCGTGTAGTTGGCTTAGCTCTAGATCTAAAAATGGACAGCAGTACACTTCCCACCATATGCGCAGCTGTACAGGTGGTGGTAAGTGAAGTCCCTCAAGCGGAACTGCCAACCTTGGTTGTATAAATAGCAACACCTTCCAGAATTAGGCGTTATCGCTTATCTATATACTGGAGCTGGTCAGACATACACATTAGATTATGCCGAACCCCGTCTGACTAGTCCACCGTTCCATAACTGCCATTTCTATACAGTTTATGACCCAGCCTTGCATATACCATGCAAGCTTACATATTCCAAGACGCTATACTTTAGTCACTATAAGTCAGTAAATAAGAGTGATCAGTAACTACTCATACATTCAAGCCATGCAATTGGTTTCCATCCCCAAACCGTCACACCATATTTACCGCTCAATATCCTTTCATGTAAATGCCTACCAAGGGTAAACATGCACTCCAACACCAACCCAGCCTCAGGTCGTCATGTAACTCATGTTGGGTACCTGAGCATTCTGGGTCATAGTCGGTCATTGGTTAGGACTGATCCTAGCCTCTGTCAAAGCGCACAATCGCACCCACTGCGGATACCTACCTTCACAACTATTTGAAAGCGGTGATTGACGAGCCCCCCACGGTCAAGACAGTCACGCCCCATCCACCCCAGCAAGTCAGGGTGGTCCAAGCATGCTGCCACAATTGTTAGTCTCCCAAAAAAGCTTAGGCAAGCTCGGAAATGGTGCAGACAAGAGACAAACCACAAAACTATTATAAGCTTACTTGGGTTTTGTTGCGGCCTATCGGTAGCCGTTGGTTTCCGGAGGCTTTGGGGTCGCGCTGCCCTGCAGCACAGCCGTTGAAGGTCGGCCAGTCTCTCCACCTCGGACGGTGGGCGTAATCGGGGTAGTCAATTTGGCAGTCGCACGGTGGGCTCAATGCTCGATGGGGATCAATCCCCAGGGCCTGTTGTTGGCGAGCGGTGGCAGCGCAGCGAGGCAGTGGTTCGCTGGTGTGCGGGAGGCCAGAGAGTTGGCCAGTACGGTTACATAATTCACAACATGCGCGTGCACAAATCCGCATACGCGGTGCTTGATCGCAGGTCCATCATTGCCACATCAAGACAAGACAACACATGTGCGCGTCCAAGCATATTG